TTTCTCCACAACCTCGCCAGCATTTGTTGCTTGCTGTTCTGTTAAATTTTGCTATTTTGACTGGGGTGAAATGATATCTCATAGTTGTTTTAATTTTAAAGCCAAAACAAGAGGACATTAAGAAGGCTCTAACAATCACAAATACCAACACCTGAAATTATTGAACAGTATCATTAGTATCACTTGAAATTAAGATCTAGCTAAAGGTTATTCACAAACAACTAGCACAGTATTTCAATAAGAAAGTTCCAGAAATTCAGTCTGTATTGAGATGAGTCAATGGAATAAGCAAAGTCGTATGACTGAAAATGGAGTAAAAGGTCTCAGATGGGGGGTTTTCCCCCATCTCAATATGATTTCTTTAACCATGATACTATTGTAATTTTGAAGTTTACTAATTTTTAAATAAGTTTTCTTGTAAATACCGTATTTCTAGTGGGATGAAATTTAAGAGGTGTAGTGTTTTTATCTAATTTTTTAATCTAATTTTAAATATCTACAGAAAAATAATGCATTTAATATATCATAGTTTTTTAAGTTCCCTAAAGTAAGGGAAAATTTATATACTTTATCTAGAACAACATTATACAGTAAAAATATAACATGAGTCACATATACGATCTTAAATTTTGTTTTTTACTCATAGCTGATCCTCTAATGGGCTTTCATTTCAGGATCTGTAAATCACAAGGGATTGCACATCTTTCTCCAGTGGAGCAGTTGGTGGATTTGATACATGTGCTTTTGAGAGGGCAGTGCAGTTCCTTAACAATTAGGCAACCAGAACGCGTGGTGGTGGTGGTGGTTGTTAAGTGCTGTTGATTTACTTGTGACTCATAAAGACCCTGTATACAATAGCTCTGAACCCTGCTCTATCCTGTGTCAGCCTCATTGCCCCCTACACCCCCATCCACATTACCCAAGTCAATAGTAATAACATTAAAAGTAGTAAAAATAAATATTTGTCATTAAGTTTAGTAATATTTTATCAAGCCTAATATATTATAAATTGTATCATTCCAACATGTAATCAGTATAAAAAGAAGTTATAAAATAATTTACTTTTTTTTGATTCCCACTTATACTTTCTGGAATATCAGAAAATAACCATCACAGAAACAGTAGAGTCACATTGATGTAAAAGCTATGCTTTGACAGAGAGCTATGGTGGCCTAGCCTCTAAGTAGTTGCACTGCTATCTCAAAGGCCCATCTTCTCTTAGCAATTCCTAAGGAGGAAATATCAACAGTCTTTTCCTATGTGATTTACAGCCTTGGAAACCTAACGAAGGTTCAGCAGTGAGTCAGTACGTACTTGACAGAGACATATACTTTGACAATATAAATCTCTAGCTCAATGCTGTGCAGTTGTGGCTGACTCAGACCTTACTCTGCATAGTTTCTGGGACAGTAGTGCCATCCTGAAAACTTCCAGCAGGTATACAATGACCAAGTTATTGGGTAATTAAGATCCCAGTTGTAGCCTTAAAGTACCGTTCCTCACTTGAATATGCACACATGAAAACAAGTATATTCCATTTTTGAGATCAAGCTCTGCAAGTGAGTTTGGAATATTCTGTCATACATGACTGCTAAAATTATATCAGAAAGACTCAGGAGCCAACTTGGAAGAGGCTCCCACTGTCTGAAGAAGGGACAAGTAGAGCATCAATCGGGATAAGTATTTCATTTGATGGAAACAAATCAAGTTTAAGTTTATAAGCTACTAAAGATTAAAAAGAAATTCTTTTGTTGCTTATGAAAAGCAGATTAAAATGTTGTTCCTTCCTGTGAACAGTCTCTGTGGTTCTATGAACTGTCCAAGAAGGTGGCCAAGTGGTAGGTGAGGGAATGTCTACACTTTGTGAAGGTATTTCAGCTAATAAATGAAGAGGATAAAAAGGAAAGCCTTCACTTTTTTATTAAGCCTTAAAAATTGGTATGTTTTACATTTGCAGTTTGTGTCAATTCATATGCTGAATTTTAAGTTTTAAATTGTTATGTGCCATCAGGTCACCTGTGACTCATAGGCTCCTATGTACAATAGCCCTAAAGCCTACTCTACCCTGTGCCAATCTTTTTGTCTCGAGCCCACCGACCCCCAATACGCCAATCACTGAATCAGTCCATCTCATAGAGGGTCTTCCTCTCTTGCACTGTCCCTCCACTCTCTCAAGCATGACGTCCTCTCCAAGGATTGGTCCCTTCTTGCAACATGTCAGACAAAGCTTGGAATCCTTGCCTCCAAGAAGCAACCTGGTTTCACCATCTCTAGGATGAACCTGTTTGTTCTCTTAGCAGTCCATGGTATATTCAGTACTGTTCTCCAGCACCACAGCTCAAAGGAATCAATTTTCCCTCTATCATCCTTAGTCAGTGTCCAGCTCTCTGAGGCATAGCAAGTCATTGCAAGGAACATGACCTGTATCAGGCACACCTTACTCTCCAGGCTGATTTCATTGCTCTTTAGTACTTTGGAGAGGTCTCTGACAGCAGGCTTTCCTAATGCATTTTGTCTTTTAATTTCCTGGCTGCTGGTACCAAAATTGTTGATACTAGTTTGTATTGAAAATCATGAAATTTATTATTCATATTCTCGCATCCAGTTTGTTTTAGATTATTGAATTGAGCAACTAATTTTTAAATGTAATTTTAAATTAATTAGAATTATTAGCCACATTGTAAGTGCTCAATAATTTTTTTGTTATTATGGTTGCTGAATTGGTTAGTGTAATTGTGGAGAGGTTTTGGTAATATGTATTAAAGTAGAAAAGATGTCTATCCTTTGAGTAGCTAGTCTTTTTCTAGAGATCTAAAAGTATAGAAATTTATTTGTAATACGTTATTCTTCAATTTATTTTATTTCAGTGAAAGATTAAAGACAAATGAAAGGACTTATTAGGCATATTTTGATGCATATATACAACAGACTACTCTAGACTTTAAATCTAGTCTTTAGATTTAAATCTAGTCTCTAGAATTGGTGGTATGTCAGGGGTATTATGAATAACTAAGGAGTCCTCTCTGGGTAGTACAACTAGTTAATATGTTTTGCTGCTAACTGAAAGGTTGAAACTTTTTAGTTCCTCCAGAGATGCACTGGAAGGAAGTCCTGGAAATCTGCTTCTGAAAAATCAGACATTGAAAACCCTGTGGAGGATAGTTTTACTCTGACACAAGAAAAGAGTTGGTGGTCACATGAGCGGAGGAGAAGACAGTTTAAAGCTGACAGACATTTTCTCATTGCTTTGATTACCACTGGTAATCAAAGTCTTGGAAAGATAGTATTTTAAAAGTTTAATTAAGGTTCAATTTTACAGTTTAAGAAAAGAGTAAAGGCTACTTAGACAGCTTGCTTTCCCAATTCCTATTAGCTATGTAATCTTCTCTTCCTGACAGTTTTGGGTTGCTTTTTGTCCAACTAAAGTGTTTTTAAGAGTCCTGGAGTAACAAGGTCTTTGGAAGAAAAGAATAATATAAACTTTAAAATTGTAATAAATTAAAGACTACTTTCTCAGATGGCATTTAAAAAGACTTGGTCTTTGGCAACTTGAATTAAGTGTCAGAAGTAATGTGATACCCGTTTTTAAAATTTGAGCGAATAGTTGATAAGTGACTTGGTTTTATTTTACCATAGAGCTTTGCAGATGAATGTGATGCTGGAAGTAAGTGTTTTAAACAGAAATAGTAGTCTGTAGTGAGATTGATGCATAATTTATAGAAGGTGAGAAGAAACTGACAACATTTGGAATCTGTTAAATTACAAAAAGCTAAATGTTCCTTGATTCTGAAATAAAACATACCATTCCCAGAAGTACTCATGTAATTCATATGCATTTTAAATAATTGATGTCTTTTGTTATGCTAGAATATGCACTGGATGATTCCTTTCCATTAGTATCTTTTTATAAGCTTCTATTTTAAGAATTAATTATTTTCATGATTTCATTTTAATTTATATTTATAACTTGAAGTGCATTTTCTTTTAGAAGCTATTCTGTGAATGGCTGTTTTAATTCTCAAAGCTGTCCACAAAAACCCCCAGTTTGAATCATAATTTATACAAAGCCAATAGTGAAGGAGTCAAGAGAAATGTCTTCAGTCCCATTTTTATTCTCTAGGGCTGTAGGCGTTTGGAAAATGGAAAAATTCCTTTCCTATAAGATATTTCACAATCTCTAGTTTATAGTTTTTCTAAAATGTTTTGCATTTTTTTTTTCATCATACAGATATGAAAAAACTGAGACTAATTAAAACATTGGTTCCTGCAAATATTGACATGTACCTCATCCACATGGCAATTGAGATCCTGAAAAAAGAGGAGAGCAGCAGACTACTCTGCCAACCTTCATGTGATGCCAACAAAAAGAGATGTTTCCCCAACTCTAAAGAGAGCTGTTCAGATTCCAAGAGAATCAAAGAAGAAGCAGGCGCTAATACCAAGGTGCTAATTATATGTAAACTTTTTATATAAAGTGTTGATGGCTGGATTTGTATATTTTAATACTAGAATGTGTTTTGATCAGTTACAAATACTGATGGAAACTCTCTTCTTTACACATGTGCTAGGGTTTGGGTTTTTTTTTCTTTTTATGTACCTGATCTGAGTAAAGTGACTGTAAAAAACGGTTAAAAAAAAAAAGGAAATAACCCATTTACTTAAATTACTAATCTGCTTTGTATTTATTATACATACAGTGTAACAAATTATTTTTCCTTCATTGTTGTTTATAATATTGACTATAAGAAAATAGCGGGAGCTCTGGTGGCCTAGTGGGTAAAGAATTCTCCTGTCACACCAGAGGCATGCAGTTCACATTCACCAGGTGCTCCACAAGAGCAAGATGGGAAATCTCTCCTCAAGTGTGATTTACAATCGCTGAAAAACCACTGGAGGATCAGCTGTGAATTTGTTTAACAGCACATAACAACAACACAAGAACGTATCAGTTAGTATGATAAATGAAAAAGGAAACATTCTAAATATTCCTATATTGATTTTTCTTTCCTTCTGATGGTTATAATATTCTGCCACTACTACATTAATATCTAGAGTACAACAATAACTGCTGCTTATGGTCCTGATCATATCACAGTATGCTTTTTAAATGGTCAGAGAAAGACTTCAGTATTCTTTTAGGTGGTTTGTTTTAGTAAAATAGCATGTACTTTGAAAAATCATTGCTGAGTATGGTATGAAATAAATAAGAGATCAGAGAATATTTTATAAATATGAAAAATTAATCTCCAGTATCTTTCCAGACTAAAAGTAGATAATTTTATCACAAAAGCTCATGAAAATTACTGTTGTTGTTATTGTTATGTGCTGTCATGTCACTTGCAACTCATAGCGACCCTATGTACAATAGCCCTAAACCCTGCTCTATACCTGCCCTTGCTCTTATTGTCTCCGACACGCCTGTCTCCATTACCCCAGTCACTGAATCAATCCATCTCATCAAGGGTCTTCCTCTCCTGCGCTGTCCCTCCACCCTCCCAAGCATGACGTCCCTCTCCAAGGACTGATCCTGCCTTGCAACATGTCCAAAGTATGTCAGACGGAGCTTCAGAATCCTTGCCTCCAACACCAGCCTGGCTTTACCCTCTCTAAGATGAACTTGCTTGTTCTCCTAGCAGTCCATGGTATATTCAATACTCTTCTCCAGCACCAAAGCTCAAAGGCATCAACTCTCCTTCTATCATCAGTCATTGTCCAGCTCTCTGATGCATAGCAAGTAATTGCAAAGACCATGACCTGGATCAGGCGCACCTTAGTCTCCAGACTGATATTGTTGCTCTTCAGTACTTTGGAGAGGTCTCTGACAGCAGACTTTTCCAGTGAAATTCATCTTTTAATTTCCTGGCTGCTGATACTAATTATGAAAATTAAGAACTAAAAAAAAATTATTTCCTAGACAATAAATACAGCCTAGTACTAAGTGGGTTTTTTTATTAGTATTTCTATTAGAAGATTATATTACCATTTTTTGTTGTAATATATTTAAAGTAATCATAGGATTTCTAACAAACTACTTTTCCTCTGCCTGTTTATAAATAAGAGGAACTTACCTTACATACTTTTCTACTTCAGATATTTTGTATTTCCTCACACTGTAGATAATGAAATAAAGTTCAGTTATTTGGAATTATTAACAATCTGATCATTTAACTTTCTATAAAGGGGACATTAAAGAAAATCTGGTAGGTGAAATTTGACTCTTTATTTTCTGCATTTTTCTCCAGTCTACCTCAGGTACCTCAGATCCTCCTATTGTCTCCAAACTTTTACCTAATCAATGCAGAAGAAAGTGTAATTTGTTATTTTTTTTTAATATTGAAGTACCTTGGAAATAAATATTATTCTAACTGTATTATTATCATTTTTGTATTTAGTGAAATCACATGAGTGGGCAGGCAAGATGGTGAGGGCAGTGAGTGGAGAAATTATACTAAGCCTACTGCATTCTAAAAGTTTATCTAACGTAGGCCTTTTCCCGTATAGAGGAATGAAGGTGTTGGGGCTGGGACGTAGGTTAAAAGATAATCTCTTCTTCATCTGCATCTTGCTGTAGAAAGCTGCTGTGGTTATAGGAGAACAACTGTCCATTGAGTCTGCTGGAAACCTAATTTATTTTTTTATTTTTTTTTTTCTATAATTATATTTTATTAATTTTCATAAACATTTACAGAGATTTTGGGCTTCCACTCATTCATTGTTGCACTATTCTCTCTACCCTCCTCCCAGTTTGTTCTTGTCCAAATGCCACAGTGCTTGTCAAAGCCAGTTCTGATTAATCTTCTTTGTCAGTGTATCCTTTGCCATTCCCTATCACTCCTCCCTGAGAGAGACTTCACCCTGAGTCATAAGGAAAAGGGGATGGCGTATTCTCTTAGCTACTTCCTGCTGAAAAGGGACGCTGTGGGTTTCAGGGTGAAGATCTTCTCTCACTACTCTAAAGGGCCCCTTTGGCAGTAGGAAACACATAGACTATTATGGAGATTGATTTTGGAATTCAGATGCACTCTTATTGATTGTGCTTGGCTGTACATGTACATATCCTTCAAGATGTATCATGGGGGTGTTGCAACCTAGAAGACACAAATTTGACTAACAAGTTATAAGTACATGAGTCCAAAAATTATGGAAAAGTAAAAGAAAAGATTCTTTCATTGTTTTACAAACCCTCCCCCAGGTCCCCTCCACCATGCAGCCCTCGCTCTAGTCTCCTGTGATGTCAGAAATACCCAGTTACATCTCTCTTTTAGACGGTTCTCTCCCTCCTCTGCTTCAGTGCAGTATACATTATTGAACCCATCTTACTCAGTCTCTCCCCAACCCCAAGGACAGTCCCATTCTACAACAGTGGCATCATGTAATATTTGTCCTTTTGTGACTGGGATATTTCACTCAGCATAATGTTCTCCAGAGTCAACCATTTTGAATAATATTGCATGAGTTCCTTGTTTTTCAATGCAGCATAGTATTCCATTGTGCGAATATACCACAGCTTCTCTAGCCATTCGTTTGTTGATGGGCACTTAGGTTGTTTCCAACTCCTTGCTATTGTGAACAAAGCTGCAATACACATGGAAACCTAATTTAAAGACCTTTCATTTATTACTGTCATCTTCTTTACTGATATGAGATGTATCATTCAGTCTTTTTTGTCTTTAATTATTTTTTGTTGTTGTTGTTGTTGTTAGGTGCTGTTGAATCGAGTATGACCCAGTGACCCTGTGAACAACAGTTCTGAACCTTATCCTATCCTGCGCCATCCTCACACCTTCTGACACACTAGAGCCCACTGCAGCAGTCACCATGTCAGTTCATCTGGTACAGGATCTTCCTGTGCCTTTCCGAGCACTATGTTCCTCCCCAAGGAATAGGCCCTCCTAGGAAAATGCCTGAAATACGTAGGTGAAGCCTCATCATCTTTGCCTCTAAAGGGCATTCTGGCTGCACCTTCTCCAAGACATATTTGTTTCTTCCTTTGGCAGTTCATGGAATGTTCAGTACTCTTCAGACCACAAGGGTTACCCGTGGTGGAGAGGCTTTAGTAGACCTCCCAGATAAAGACAGACTGGGAAGCAGGTTTGGACATTGACTTCTTAAATAACAGGCCTCTGAAAACCCTATGAACAGTAGAAGAATGCAGATAGTCTTTAATATTGAGGCTTCTAATAAATATTAGTATCTCTGGAAAAAAAATGTTTTTACTAGTTGGTGCATTATTATGGTTACATTTGTGACTTCTATTGAAAGAGAAATACATTAAGCTCATTTTTTAGTGGAGGAAGATTATCCCTTGATACTGATTTTTCTGGTTGATACAGACACGTATACCTACATTCACAAATTTGCACACACAGTAGGTTTTTAAAATATTTTTATACTGCTGTAAAGTTTTCTTCAGTTGCAATGCTTGTGTTTCATTTTTTTATTCTTCAGGAATACTGTGTAACGGATCTTTCCCTGCCTCCAGTGTATGGCACCTTCTCAAGAATTCATTTTCTTTCTTTTATAATTTCTCACCTTTCTATTTTCTTTTGCCTAATAGTTTATCTAATATTTATCTTTTGACTAATAATCTTTTGTATTTATTGCTCTAATGTTTCTTATAATACTGTACTAATTTTTATAGTTATTTTTTCTTTGTTTCTGTTTTTTTCCTCAGACTTTTAAGTTTTGAGTTTTCCTGATTTTTATTTATGTCATTTCATGTGTTGAATTGTATTCTTAAATACTTTTTGGTTTACTTTGAGAGGTTACAATGTTTCTTCTATATCTAAGTAAATTTTTGTAGAATAAGGCATTTAACCTTGATCCTTTTCTTTAGCTCGTGTTCATATAAAATAAGTCTTCTCTGGACTTCAAAAAAAAGGCAAGGTTCAGGATAGCTTTTCCAATTTCAGAAATGTCTTTTCTGTTGTGGTTATATAATGCTCAAAATTCAAAGACTTGTTTCATGGTTCATGATTCATCACTCTCTTTTGAATTTTCTCTTCATGGTTTTTGGTCCTGCTTGCTTTTGTTATAATTCTAACATTTATTCCTGAGTTGAGGATCCTTTTTTTGGAAGGCAGCCTTAGTATGAAAGAAATTTGTAGAAACTGTCAGAACAATACAGTGGTCATGAGGATGGTAGTCTGGCATGCCCTAACTCAACGATGGAAAGGAATCCCACAGGCTGATTTCTGTGAGGTCAGATATGCTGCCAGGCTTTCACGCTGACTTCTGTCTGTTCCAGCACTAACTGTCCTTCTCACTCTGACTCCTTTCTGTTCCAGCACTAAGTGTCTCTCTCACACTCACTCCTGCCCTCTCACGCTGACTGTTCCAGCACTAACTGTCCCTCTCACACTGACTCCTGTCTGTTCCCACACTAATTGTACCTCTCTTGGTTGTCATTCTCTACTGCTCTTGTTGTTAGGTGCCATTGATCT